AGACTGGCGCTAAGAAAGGCAGTGAGCCACCACAGGGCCCACTCAGTACAGAATGCGGAGGGCGATCAGGCATCTTTCTGAAAACTCTTGGCGAGCAGCCACATGGAAATGCAGTCAGTGAAATCGAATCAGTAAACGTGGAGTTATAATGCCTGCTGAAAGAAACATGCTGAAGCTAGAATAAGGAAAAGTGGGGTGGTGGCTGGACTTTAGGCAGGACCTGGGGGCGCGGAGAGGAGGTGGGGGTGGTGGTGTTAAGAACTGATAAGCCAAAACCAGTTTGGCTCAGTGGATAGAGCGTCGGCCTGCAGACTGAAAGGTCCCGGGTTCGATTTCGGTCAAGGGCATATACCTTGGCTGTGGGTACATCCCCGGTAGGGGTTGTGCAAGAGGCAGCTGGTCGATGTTTCTCTCTCATCAATGTTTCTAGCTTTCTATCCCTCTTCCTTCCTCTCTGTAAAAATCAATAATATATATATATATATATATATATATATATATATATATATATATATATTTTTTTTTTTTTTTTAAAAGATCTGATTAGCTGTGGCCACTCTGATGAGCCAAAAGGAGGAGCTGTGTCGATGGACAGTAATGCCCTTTGGTGAGAAGGGTGAGACCACTACAGCCCCCCTGGAAACTGCTGAGGCATCGACTCCACTGCTCTGATTCCTTGCTCTTAAAGGGAACTTCTGGTTTTAATTTGCTTTCTCACGAAATGTTTCCTATCAGGCAAATTGTGAGGGTGATGACATGCCTCTCCAATCACCTCACAGGACACAAATCTTGTTATGATTTAGTGAACTGACACTCGGTTGTTTCTTTCAAATCTCTTTTGAGTTTGGCTAGTTTGAATCAATCCACTGGGGGCATCTAAGCAAAATGAATAAACATCTAATTTGGTTTCTACACTTCTAAAGCCAAAGTCCAGACCACGGGCCCATGCAGCTGAATGAGACATGCATCCCACTTGGCAATGCTTATGAATATAGTGAGATGGTTGCTGCCTGTGGCAATGCCAGCTAACTATTCTTATTATGGTAAACTCCTCATACCGATGGCAGTAACAACCATCATAATACCCAGGCTTGGTTATTTCCCTGTGGCTCGGTCATCACACCACCTTCTCTCCTACTGAAGCTGGGGTCCTGACATATCTATACTAATAAAAGAGTAATATGCTAATTAGACCAAGAGACCTTCTGGATGTCCTTCCAGATAAAGCTGTGGCATGGCCAGCCTGCAAATTGCCCTCAGTCCCTTGTCCAGGCCGGCCTCCCACCCTGATCTGGGACTCCCTTCAGGGAAGACCAGGCAGCTCCCACCTGTGTACCAGGCCTCTATCTATATTAATAAAATGGTAATATGCTAATTAGACCAGGAGACATTCTGGACATCCTTCCAGATAAAGCCATGGTGGCGGGGCTGAGGCAGAGACAGTTAGGGGCAGTCAGGCCAGGAGGGGAGGGCAGTTGGGGATGAGTAGTCAAGCAGGCAGAGTGGTTAGGGTCGATCAGGCAGGTGAGCAGTTAGGAGCCAGCGGTCCCGGATTGCAAGAGGGATATCCCAGATTGGAGAGGGTGCAGGCCTGGTTAAAGGACAACCCCCCATCCCTGTGCATGAATTTTGTGCACTGGGCCACTAGTGTATATATAAAAAGTCAGCTGTAAATGTGTTAAAAGTAATGGTGACTACCTTGGTGAAGGCCATCCTTTGTCTCAGAAAATGGACATAGCATGGTGATCAGGCATTCTTAGTTCCACTCTTAACAAAACTAATTCTTCTGTGTATACTGGCCAATCAGTATTTATGTGACCTAGTTTTAAAAGCTGAACAATATAGGAGGCCAGTCAAAAATAAGGGGCTACCATAGTATTTTTCCTGGAGCTTCTTTTGGGCACAGAGGTCTAGGTCACATGGGTAAGGGACCTCACCACCCATGACATATCTATACTAATAAAAGAGTAATATGACCATTCACTCTAATGCCCAATCTCCTCAGGACCTTCCTCAGTGTTTGTATCAGCAAAAGTTCACTGCCTTTCTCCATAGCACATTGTATTCCTGAGCATGATTTAGGTAAGTGATCATTAAACTCTCTCCTTGGAGTTGTGAGAAGAAAGCAGCCAGTGAGCAATCACAAAATTGAGTTTGGTCAATGAAATGTAATCTCATCTTGAGTGGAGACATTTATTTCCTTGGAACTTGTCTTGGCTGAGCCAACCCCATCAGACTGGACACCAGTATGCTCACCAGGGTGTCCAGCCACTCCATACTCAGTCCTTCCCAGTCGCTTAAGCCCCACAGGCAGAGATGTTTTTGCAAGTCCTGATCCCCACAGGGGATTCCTGGCAGGACAAGGACCCATCACATGTGCTTTAAAAATGAGAACCCCTGATAGAAAAAATGTTTATCCTCCCAAATGATGGATAACATAGAAATGAGCATGGAGATCAATAGAGAACCAATTCATCAAGTCTGCGCACCAGCAAAATGAGGAATGTTTGCATGGCATGTGAAGAGGAGAAAATTTGGTGCCATGGCCTGTCACAGCCACCTTTGCTGTAATCTCATAGCTCAGCTTGTCAAATGACAATGCACTCCCAACACCCTGCAGGGCTAACCTCTCCATACAGAGGTGAAGAATGAAGAGCTTGGCAGGGAGCCCATGGGATGCCTGGCTTCCCTGGGGTGTGGAGTGCTGGTCACTCTTCAGTGAGGATGGGAATGGGAGTCCAGGCACAGTGGATCAGTGGGAAGTAGCAAGAGTCTGAGATTAATATCCACGAGTTCTAACTTCTCACATTTACTCAACTCAGGGCAGCTTTGTGCCGGGAACACTGAACATAGCCCTTTCTCAGAACATTTATATATCAGCCCTTGAACATGCCTCAGGCACCCATTCCTGTGCCTGTGTTTCTCCCCTGGTCAGAATGCTCTCTTCTCTCCTCTTTGCTTATGCTAGTTTTCTCCAGCCTTCTAGACATACCTGGATGGTGTGTCCTCCTTCCTGAATGTCCCTGTCCTCAGCGGTGCTTCACCAAAGGCACTCAAGACATGCTAGTTGTTGACTCTGATAATAATAAATTTAAGATTAATGGCTCTTCAAGCAAAGCCATATTGTGTAGCAAATTATATCCAGGATATAGCCTATCACTCAAGGATCTGAACATCCTGGAAGGTACACCGGAGACGTCCAAACTCCATTCATTCTCTGCCTGAGAGGCTCAGGGCTCTGGAAGGCAGCAAAGTGAAAAAAGCCCAGGCTGCCATTTCAGTTCTGACAAAACCTGAGATGAAATCAACCTGAGATGAAGCCCTGGAGCAAAGCTAGTTAATGATCAGGCAACTGGCAAGTTTAGACTTAAAACAGAAATAATGAAAAACAGTTTCTCTTTGCTTAATATTATACTTGAATCCAGTCAAATAATTTATCATATACTGTAATTATAAGGATTTGGAAGTAGAACTGTTCAAATCATAGCCAGACCCAAACACCAGTATCTCTTCCCTAGACCTCTGACCTCCACATGTGCATACACTAGTCCACGGGTATCTCAACCGGGTCTCAAGTTTAACATGCCCAGAATGAAATTCCTGATCTCACCTACCCCCTAAACTTGTTCCTCCACCACCCTCTATTCTTTTATTTTAGTCATCTACAAAAGCTGTCCAGCTGAATATATGCTATAGAAAGATCATTTTCTTCTCAGGAATGAGGCGAGTGTGTGTGTGTGTGTGTGTGTGTGTGTGTGTGTGTGTTCCCAGTATTCCCTGAGGATGCCACACACTGTCCCCTACTGATCACAGTCTTTCACTGTGTGCAGTGAGCTCTGTCTGCTAAGAAATGTTCTCTTTCTTGGGGACAATGAGGAGAATGAGTTAATTTTCTATCAATTACAGAAACTAGTTAGCCTAAACCCATCATAAAAGAATGTTTAATAATAAGTGTTGGAAAAAGAAACTGTAACTGAAAAATAACTTTATAGTGGGCTTAAGCAAAAATAGAACACAAAAATAAAAACCAAACTTGATCATCATGAAATAACTGCAACGAACCTATGACCTCAGACTGCATTTCCTGGAGAGTGGCAACAAGTGAGCTGAGAAGAAGTGAGGAATCCCAAGGCTAACTTTTGATTTCCATCACATTTTTTCTCATTGTGATTTCTTTTAGGAAACCTCCCACCCCTAATATTTTCATAGTGATGTGCATCCTCAGAAAGCCAAGGTGGCACATGAAAGGATGCCCAATATCGGTAGCTGTAACAGAAATACAAATCAAAGCCACATGAGTCACTATTACGCACCTATGAGGATGGCTATTGTCAGAAAGTGGAAAACAACAAATGCTGACAAGGATGTGGAGAAGTTGGAACACTTGTGCATTCCTGTTGGGGGTGTAACATGGAGGTGCTGCTTTGGGAAACAGTAAATTTTTCCTCAAAAAGTTAAACATAGAATTACCATATGATCCAGCCTTTCACTTCTAGGTATACACCCAAAAGCATTGAAAGCAGTGCACCTGTGTTTATAGCAACATTATGAATGGATAAGTGAAATGTAGTATATACACAAAATGGAATGTTATTCAGCCTCAAAAAAAAAATGTCTGACATATGCTACAACATGGATAAACCTTGAGGACATTATTTAAGTGAAATAAGCTGGACACAAAAGGACTGTGTGATTCCACTTACATGGGGAACCTAGAGCAGTCAGATTCCTAGAGGCAGAAAGCAGAAAGGTGGTTCCAGGGGTGGAGCTTGCAGGGGGAGGAGGGAATGGGAAGTTATTGTGTCATGAGTACAGAGTTTCAATTTGGGACAATGAAAAAGTTCTGGAGATGGATGGTGGTGATGACTGTACAACAATATGAATATACTTAATACTGCTCAACTGCATTCTTAAACTGGTTAAATAGTAAATTTTGTTTGTTTATTTTGCCACAATTTAAAAAAGGGAAAAAAGAAGCCAAAGTAGCAAGCAATACTTACAAGATATAGGCAATCACCCCGATGGACCAGCAGTCAACAGCTTTGCTGTAAGGTTTCTGGGCGAGGACCTCAGGAGCTGTGAAACCACAGACACACAAGCCGGACAAGTTAAAGGTCTGACACATGACACTTTCTAGGTTTGTTTTTTCTTTCTCTGTCTTCTCCTTGGGCTGAACTCTATTTGATTCCAAAAGCGATTAGAGGTATATGATCTATTCTAACAAGAAAATTTAAAAAAATGAAGGCTTGAGTGTATGTGTGTGTGTGACTAGAGGTTATCAATAAAATGAAATCTATCAACAAATACTTAATAGGTGGGTATTTTATGTGAGTGCTGGGCGAGGCACTACAGTTCAGACCAAAGAGAGCCAAGGAAAGGTATGTTTACTGTTTAGGGCTTAGGGTGTGACATCCCCTCAAATCAGTTCAACTCAAGGAGGCACTTTTGGCCCCCACATACGTTTTTTTTTAGGTTTTGGAAACCCTGCATTGGGCCTGCTCTTGGTTCATTCTCTAAGATTTTGGTGGGTTATCTGTCAATATCGTCATTTCATTTTCCTGTTGGTGAAACGGGAGGATGCTATTTCATCACTCTTGCTTTGTTCTAACCCACTGTCCATCAGGAGTCCAAGGGCTGGGCTTATTTTGCACTTTCCCCACACTTCCTGCTCCAGGCCGGTGGCACAGCCCAGAGCTGGAGACCCACCCAGTGTCTGGCACCTGCGGTGTCTGCTATGCATATCTGTGCAGAGTAAGTAAATATAAGAAAAGACAGTAACTCTTCACAAGCAAACTCTTCTTTTTATCTAATTGAGGTGTCTCCAGCAAAGACTTTCCAGAAAAATTAAGAGGGTAGAAAAACCAAAATTGCTATAGCTTACAAGGCACTCATTCTGGGCTGAACTGTCCTTGGTGGGGAACAACTTAATTATTGTTACCATCATGATCCCCACGTTACAGGTGAGGGCATAGAGGGACTGAGAGGTCAGCACTTCCCAAAGCATCCAGCAGGAGAGCGGGCAACACACCTCCTTCCTCTCAGAGGGCCCTGCCTAAGTGCCTGCCGTGACAGGCCTCATGCTAGTCATTCACAAACATTTCCTACTTCGAGCCGGCAGCAGCTCTAACAATTACTCTTATCTGCCCCTGACAGAGAGAAAAAAGGAGCCTCAGAGAAGCTCATTTTCTGGCGCTACACAGCAGCTATGAACCAGTCAGTCTCACTCTGTCCTGGTTCTTTCTGCTTGGATGCACCGATTGCTAAGGTCAGAGTTTCTTCAGTCTGTAGGAAAAATTCTGTGCAGAGAAACTAACAGCAAAATCCTCTTTCATTCTGTTGAAGCTAAATCTTCCTGAGCATGAATAGGGAAGTAGACAAGCTACTATGGAGTGTTTCTAGTTATGATGGCAAGGAATGCAATCCACAGGTAATCCCCGAATCTAATTTCAGGTTTCAGCCCCAATTCCTTCAGACTTCCGATCAGACTATTTGCTTTTAACAAGAGCAAAATAAATAAAGGTGTACCTTCTTTCCTGGCAATGTTCACCCTGAACACAGAGGCAAAAGGAGAGATGAGACTATAAAGAAAGGAAGCCCGCAAACTGGAGAAGTGGCCCTCAGATAACTGGGAGCTGGCTGCATCACGACTTCCTTTCCCTGCAACTTATTATTTATTTATTTATTTGTTTATTTTTCTCAGACACTTCTACGATGGCGACTGACATAAGGGAGCCATTCCCCTAGTAAATGTCTTGCTGATTTAGGAGGTTTGTTCTCTCTGAGCAGATTCTGGTCTGAGTGGTCACACGGGCACAGATGGTGGGAGGTGACGAGGTCTCTGCAAGGGGCACATGTCTGAGCCTCCCGGGCCTTCCTCGGGGCCTGATAAAAAGTTTAGAGGAGTCAGAGAAGGCTCATGGGACAGAGCTGATGGCAGATGTAATGAGACAGAGCCAAGCTGATGTCTGCAGGGCATTTTAGGGAGAACGAGGGCCAGCCTGGCCCAGACACCCACAGAACAGATGTCAGAGCGCAGAGGCATGAGGAAGTTTGGACAAGATTTCAAGCACAGACTCAAGCCATGTTCCAGGTGCCACAGGCGACAGGAAGGTAGACAAGGAATGTGGAGAAGGAAGCTGTCAGCACCTGGGACAGCTGATCTCATAGTTAATGAGCCAAGACTTGGCCCACCCGGAGCCAGGATGTGCAGAGGGGAAAAGAGACGTGGTCCCTGCAAACCAGGTCTTACTCCAAGGAGGAGCTAATGCTGTGTTCTTTCCAGTGGTCCTTCTTCACAGTTCCCAGCGCTGTGGAGGTGGGAGGGACAATTCTTTAAAAGAACATCTTCCTTTTTGTCTTCCTCCTTGCTGCCATCATTGGATAGACAGAGGAAAGAACTGGCCACCATTTATTGTTCAGAAACTCAAAGAATAAAGGACATGGTTTCCTTTCAGAAGCCCGCACATCCAGGGAGCAAGCATTTCATCTACACTTCGGCAGATTCACCCTTTTAGAGAGCTGTGCGAGGCGCTGCACAGACCTGAAAAGCAAGTAGCTGATTTTTATGCAACTTGGACCTTGAATGTCACTTGAGATGTTAAGATTCATGAAGCCACAGATGACACATACTTTCAAAATATGGGACTTTGTTTAAATGTTAAAGTTTATAACCTCCGATATGTAGTTTAAAAAAAAAAAAGATTTCTGGATCTTTCTCAGATTCTTCCATTATGGCAACTGACAAAACTGACCACTGACAAAATGATGTCAGGGTCAATACATGGCTCTTAGGGGGGAAGTTGTAAATTATTGACAAATGTCAGGGTCACATATTGGGGGTGGAAGTCTGTGTGCATGTGCCAAACTTCTTGTTCTTTTTAGTGTTGTGCTTTATTTGGATTATGTCAACAATAAACAAGAAATATTTTTTAACTAAGTAGAGGCAAGTGAGCCATTTGTCTTCTGGTGAGGTCTTAATTGCACTGGAAATGCAGAGGGTGAAGCAGGAAGTATACTATAATGACAAAAAAGACAAAGCCAATTGCTTTGGAAATATTATTTTCACCAACTTAAAATGTTTTAAAAATTGCATCATAGCACACATACAAATGGTATTAATTCTAATTTTAGTTGTGATTCCTGTAACCAAATTTTCTCTGGGACGTTGTTTGAACAAGCTTACCTATAACACTTTAAGTAGCTACTTTTCATCTCATAGTAATTCTTGAAAAAAAAAAAGTTTTTTTCAGGCAACATTCAAATCCTTTGACAATGTGATATGGTGACCGAGTCATAAGGAACCCCTGAGAGGATCCAGGCTATTTCCTCTCCCGCTCTGTGTTCTGAAGTTGGCTCCGTTATTTCCCCAGGTGTCTAATCACCAGGTGTTGGCCCATCACCTACCGTTTTCTTGATCTTTTTTCAGAGCATGTCCCATTGGGAGAGTCCACTTCTCACTCTGATCTTTTTAGATCAGATCTGATCTTTGGTTTCCACTTTAAGAACCAGCTAAACTCCCTTACACTGTGTTATCCATCTTATACCATTGGCAGGATTTCTGCTATAATCCTCAAAAGTCATAGCGTCCAATTTATAAACTTTCAGAATGAGCTTCCAGGCCTAGGAGGCCCAGAACACAGCCCATCGGGAGCCTTGTAAAGTGATAAGGGTTCTCTGAGCCCCGCACAGTTCCACCTCTGCCCCAATGCTGCCTGCAGGTGCCACAGAACTTCTTAATCAAGGAGAAACAATTTTCTCCTCTAATTGTACCCAGCAGGATTCCTGTGTAGTGGGAGGTTGGCAATGACTCTCGCCACCCCCACACCTTCTAATAGAGGGAGGCTTTTAATTTAAATAACTTCTTTGGAGCTATGGACAAAGAGAAAAGTCCTGAAAAGGCACTGTGGCTGATTTGCATTGCCCTCAGCCCCCAGGAAAGGGCTTGGACTCCTGGAACCTCCACGGCAGAAGGAAAAGACACTTGTAGAGAGGGAACACGGAGATTCCTTGAGTGCCTTTCAATGCCCAATCCCTGAGGGCTGTCAGTGTCCATCAAAGAAAGTAGAGAGACCCACCCACCAGGAGGTATTGAAAAGGACACATGCAAAGTAGGTAGCAGGTCCAACCTCCTCCTCCTCCTCTTCTTCCTCCTCCTCCTCCTCCTTCTTCTCCTCCTCCTCCTCCTCCTCCTCCTCCCCTCCTCCTCTTCCTCCTCCTTTTTTTTTTTTTTTTTTTGTTGTTGTTGTTGTTTTGTTAATCCTCACCAGAGGATATTTTCCCATTGATTTTTAAGGAGAGTGGAAGAGAGAGGAAAAGACAGAGAGAAACATCCACGTGAGAGAGACACATAGATTGGTTGCCTTCTGCACGAGCCCCGACCAAGGCCCAGCTTGGGGGGAGCCTGCAACCAAGGTACGTGCCTTAACCCTTTGGTCTGCAGTCCAACGCTCTATCCGCTGAGCCGAACAGGCTAGGGAGGTCCAACCTTCTGATTATCCCTTAAGCTTGGCCAAAGTCAGCCTTTTAGAGGAGAAGAAAGTAGCACTGAGGTGGAGGCAGCTCTACGTGGATGATATGTGTTGGGCAGGGCATTTGGGTTTCCAGGTCCATTTAGCAAAATCCTATAATACACTAGCCTTCTTGTTGGTACTGAACCTCATTGTGATTGTTCAACAAATGGTTATCAACTGAACCCAACCTACTCAATACACACAACACTAAATCTATAAGAGAACATTTCCCAAACTCCATACAAGTGATTTACAAATACACTTAGCTACCTCAAATATTTCTAGTGAGAAGGTACAGAAAAAAAATAATAATGAAAGACCAACAAATTAATTTTGGAATTCAACAGTCTATTGGGAAGTGCCTATCTTGGGTTTAAGATCAATCACTAAATACTTGTCCTTAAGAAAATAATTTCTGACATGAATTTGTGGATTAAAGAGACAGAATTAGCCCCGGTGCTCTGTGTGCAGATACATTTGACATTCATGCCGCTCGCCATAAAACCTTTCAACAGGATCTCAGAATTTCTAGTTTTAGGGTTAAAGGGCAGAAAAGATACTTTGCTA